GGGGGGGGGGGGGGGGGTGCCCAACTGACCTGTAGGGATTGAGGGTGCAGACGGTAACAGCGGGGAAGACAAGCTTGTCGGAGTTGAGGTTGATGTTGAGGCTGACAGGGTAGCTAAAGTACTCTTCGAACAGCAGGGCGAACTGCCAGTACATCATGCCGAAGGTGCAGAGCCAGAGCACGGCCCAGAAGGCCGTCTTCATGCGGTTGTGCTGGGAGCACACCAGGCGGATGGCGCCGTGGATGGTGGTATTGTTGCAGAAGAACTGGAACAGGTCTCGGTAGGAGCGGTGGAACTCGATCAGGGCCTCCTCCTCCTCCGTGGGCTGCTGGGGGGCTGCCGCGGGCTTGGGGTCTGGCCCCGGCTCCTCGCACTTGTCTCCCTTCATGAGCCCTTAGTGAGTTGTGGAGGGTCAGGGTCAGGGTCAGGGTCAGGGCAGAGTTCTGGGCTCCAAGTGCCCTTTCCATCATCAGCCTGACCCCAGAGAGAGGCTTCTCCAGGCCATGCCCACCTCCCACTCCTCCCTCCCTCCACCTGCCCAGGAGCCAGCTGACCTGCTGGAGCCAGGGCCAGAGCTGGAGCTGGGTTTCGCTGGAGTGGCCTCTCCTCTGCTTCCCTGATAAGGTCACCTTTTGGTTTCAGTCCCAGAACCTCCCTTTTCGTTTCCTCAGCCATCAGCCTCTGCTTCGTAGTCAGTCCCGTTCTTGGTCTCTCTCACTCTCTCTCCCTCTCCCCCCACCTCTCTCTCCTTCTCTTGGGTTTCTTTCCCAACTCTCTCCTTCCTCGCCCGGCTCCTCTGTGTGCCAGGCTCTCTGATCCTGCCTCTCTTCCTCTTCCTCCCCCTTTCCCCTCTCAGTCCAGGTTCTCTCCTCCAGTCTCCCGTCCTGCTCCTGCCTGGGCTGCGTCCTGACTCGCTGTGTCCTGACTCCCTCTGTCCCAGGTCCCAAAGGATGGCAGGTCTCCAGGAGTCCTGGCTGCCACCTGCTCCCCACTCCCAAGTTGTGACTGGACTGGGACTGGTTCCTTTCTAGCTGAATCTGGCAGCCAAGAGCCTCTCCTCCCCCTCACCTGACAGGTGCAGAGACCGGCCTGGGAGCCCGCCTGCCGGCCGGGGTGGAAGCAACAGAAGCCTCATTAGCATCTCAATTAAAGGTGAGCAGGGCAGAGCGGGGGAGGGTCAGAGGAGGAGTCTGAGCTGCGAGACCCAGAAGGAGGAGGACTCCCGAGGGCTGACCTGGGAGTAGGGACAGAGAAGCAGAGTCGGCCTGGGGAGTGATAGGAAGCTGACAGGCAAGGAACAGACTGGCAAGTGAGAGTCAGAAATCTTGACCGGGGAGAAGGATCCCGAACACAAAGCTAGGAGGGCAAAAACGAGGAAAACGGACAAGCCAGGACTGTGAGACTAAGGGGGAGAGACCAGGAGAGCAGGAAAGGCAGAAAAAGGGAGACAGATGCAGGAAGGACTGGGAGGGGGCATGGAGGAGAGGCAGAGAGAGGAAGGTGAAAAGGCGGGAGCCAGCCCCAAAGGGACTCTTCCCTCTCCTGCAGGAGAGCAACGGAGGGAGCCTCAAGTGGGCCTCCAGGAGCTAGGTCCCCTCCCTGGGGAGTCCCTCCAAGGGCACCCACAGATCAGCCTCACCCCCGAGGTGGTGGAGAGGATTCTAGTGGGAGTACCTCCTGGCACTCAGCACGAAGCTCCCCTCTGCCTCTCCCTCCTGGTTTATCCTCTTCCCTCCTGACTCCTCACCATCACCCCCTACCTTGTCCAGGCCAGGGAGGGGCCCAGGTGAAGCTGGGGGCTAGGCGGGGCCCTGGGACATTCTGTTCCTTTTTACACCATTGGCTGCCAGACCAGGAATGTGTAATGTCCCCTGTTGTGGTCACGGGGTTGCAGGAATGTGGGCACTGAGAGGCAGGTAGGGGACAGGCCGGGGCACTTAGGCACAGACCCGGAGCCCAGGGACAGCAGGCACTGAGGGGGCAGGGAGGGATGTGGGTCGCATTGGGTGTCCGGGAGGAAGAGGGCAGGCATGGCCAAGTCTACACCAGCCCTGGAAGGAAGGGAACGCTCATTGTCAGGGCTTTTCCTCCAAAGTCTCTTCCCAAACGTAATCCAGCAAGAGCATAAACAGTAAAATACCAGGCAGAGAGGGAAGGGTCAGAGAATCAGGCCCAATAAGAGGGTCCAAACAGGCACAGGATACCCATCCACACAGCCCAGGCCCCTTGTGAGAGCGAGAGGTTGACCCCTTGTGGACCCTCAGCAGGCAGCCCCGAGTGTGCTCACTGGTTTCTCCATCCTCCTTGCTTTCTCAAAGGAGCAGGCATGGGCATCCCGCTGATGTGCCCAGCACAGGCACTGATACAGGGTAGTAGAAGACAGGCCTGCAATATACGAAGAGGAGGATTCCAGTGGCCGAGATAAAAGCCCTGGGCTTAGTGAGCCTGGGGAGGGAGGAAGAGACTCTAGCCTGGAGAGAGTCATGAAGACTTCCTAGAGAAGGTGGCATCTCAGCTGGGTA